ACAAAGCTACTTACAGGCAAACGCCTACAGAAAACTTCAGTTATTGAAACATGACAAATCTCTTTGCATGAGTGTGTGAAGCCTGATCATCTAATGAATGAAGAGGAGCGTCATTACATATTTGTTGTATTGCTAATGATTGTTTTGAGACCACATTCTTGAATGTAATCCCTCTTTCGCTCTCCTGTTTATCTGCCATTCAGCACGAGCTTGCTCAAACATGACTGGACTACTGCAACCAGAAAATTACCTGCACAAAAAGTCTGTTTATTTTTAAAGATTTAGAGACTTTATAGAGATTATTGAAGGTTCCAGTAGAAGCAAAGTATTTCGTAATGATAAAGTTTCTAAAAGGAAACATTTAAAACAAATGATTAAGGTATGCTGCAGAAAATAGATGAGTGCAGAAAATATAAAGTAGCATTTTCAGATTTACCTGTCAACTCTTATTTAACTGCATTTGTTTTTAAAGCTAAGAGAGAAAATGTTGCAATTTTTGCACTTCTTGTTTCAGCCACACTGGGGAGCTCCTGAACTACAAATACAGTGCTACACCCGACTGTTCTCAGTTTGCACTCTTAAAGTCTTTAACATAGTTCCCAGCACTATATCACCACGAAGCAGCGTCGCTCTCATGCTGATCGCAGATAAGATGCCACAAAATGCTGCACATTGGTGTCAAAAGTCAGTGAGAAAAAGGTCAAAAATGGTTTTATAACTGCAACATCTTTGAATGCAGCAGTGTTTACGGTGTGCTACGTGTTTCTTAAGGGGTTAGGTCAATCACACACCGACCAATTTTTCTCCTGATAAGAACTCGTTATTGCCGGCTCTGTTTTATCACAGCGGGTCTGGACCCGTCTCCCTCCACTCGCCTTCCTTAAAGGTTTGATGGGTCAGCCAGCACAGCAAGCAAGCCTCAGCTGGTGCGGTGTCCCTGAAGAGCTGCAATGTATTGAATGGTAGCTGCCTTGAACAAGACCTCATCTTTTCCGTGTGTGTTTCTTGGCCCGGTAAATAATTCAGCCAGGAGAGTTGTATAAGGAGAACTAAGAGTGCACAGTGGTCTGTGCCAGATATCAACCTCGGTTTTTCAGGAATAGGAGCTTTGGCAGCACTCTGACACAAACTTCTACAAACTGATCTCACACACACAGATACACACAGAGGAAGAAGGAGAAGTCGAGGCCTCATTAGCCATGATGAGGACAGGGAGCTGCCATCGCCTCTCCATCCCCTGCATGTCCCCTATGGCTAGGAACAAATTGGTGACAGCGCTTCCAGCCACTCTGTCTGGCTACCTGTGAGGCACTGGGCTCTGTCAGCTTCCTCTTCTTCCTCA